GCGGCCTATAAATCTCAATAAAATGTGAAAAAAAAATGTGAAAATGTTCAGTGTTTTTGGAAGACACTCATCTTTCTGTCTGTTTTACACATGTCTTTATAAATGTCATTGTCTCTTCTAAACTCTATGAGATGTTTTAAGTTCCTTTTAGAGGTCAACATATTTCTTGGCTTTTAATTCTCTTCTTAACAATTTCTACCATTTGAGCTGAGATTTATTTTGTGTTCTTGTGTTTCTGTATCTTTTATTTCATATTCATCCCTAACAAATTACTTCATTTCATTCCACAGTTCTCTGGTTGCCTCTCAGTTGACTTTAAAGCAATTCCTAATGTTCTCCTTGAACATGCTAGGTAGGCAATAAAATTCATATAATGAAAACTGTTATTTTTCTTCTTCTACTTTAGATTGACTTGGAACTTGCACAGGAACTGTTCCACTGCCAATTTCTGGTAAGCTCTGCTTTTCTATTCCATTGTATAGTATTGCCAATTTGATTTCTTTATATTCTTCTGGTGATTATGGTACATGTGGAAGACTGAAAATGTTGTGGAAGATTGTATTAGCAATGAAGAAATAACTGGATTGTCAGAAATTAAATCATCCCCCTGTTTCATTTCCAATGCCATGCAATCCAACTATGTTTTCCTCTTAATATTTTCAGCTTAGGCATCCCGATCTTCAGCCACAAGCAGCACAATCTGCTTGAAAATTCTGTTGAACATGATTGAACTTGAAAATCATCAACGTGTTTTTTCCTCTGCATCAGCGATTGGACCATAAACTTGGATAATCAGTATATTAATGGGTTTTCCAAGAGGTCAACTTCATTCATTGACTGCATTGTGTCCATGGACTGTCTTTCTTTATCTTTCCTGACTATAGAAGCAGTCGTCTTCCTCCTCCGTTTGTGTTTGTGTGTGTGTACGCGCACGGGCTAAATAATAAATTGTTCTTCCAGTAACTTTCTTACCAAAAGTATCCAATTGCAGTCCTTTTCAATTTACTGATGCCTGTCAAAATGTGGCCGGTTCATTTTATTTTTCATTATGTTTAAGTTTTCCCACATTCATACTGCTTATTTTCCATGTTTCCGCTATAAATCTGCTTTTGTAACTTTGAAGCTTTTTTTCCTGCATTGCAACATCAGCAGCCAGAGACTCTGAAGGTTTAAACTAACAACTTTGAAAGATCCTCTGCTCTTCCTCAATAGTATGTTGAATGCTATTGACTCCACAGGAGTTCATTGTCCACTCTATCTTCAATCACTTTATATTGTTGATCCATACAATTTTCTTGATAAAATCCCAGATTGGATTACAGATGATCCTGGTTTTTTGTTGTTAGTTGCGAAGTCGTGTCCGACCCATTGTGACCCATAGGAAAACATTCCTCCAGGCCTTCCTGTCCTCTACCATCCCCTGAAGTCCATTTAAGCTCACTCTGACTGCTTTGGTGACTCCATTCATCCACCTCATTCCCTGGAATCCCATTCTTCTTTTGCCCTCAATTGTTCCCAGTATTAGGCTCTTCTCCAGGGAGTCCTTCCTTCTCATTAGGTGGCCAAAGTATAAGAGTTTTATCTTCAGGATCTTGCCTTCTAAAGACCAGTCAGGGTTGATCTCCTCTAGGACTAACTGATTTGATCGCCTTGCAGTCCAAGGGACTCGCAGGAGTCTTCTCCAGCACCATAGTTCAAAGGCATCAATTCTTTGGGCTCAGCCTTTCTTATGGTCCAACTTTCACAGCCATACATAGCCTTGACTATTGGAACTTTTATTGGCAGGGTGATGTCTCTGCTTTTTAGTATGCTGTCTAGATTTGCTATAGCTTTCCTCTCCAGGAGCAAGCTTCTTTTAATTTCTTGGCTGCAGTCCCTTATCTGCACTGATCTTGGAGCCCAGGAAAGTAAAATCTGTCACTACCTCCTTTTCCCAGCAATCTTAATTCCAACTTTAGATTCATCTAGCCCTGCCTTTCTCATGATGTGCTTGCATATAAGTTAAATAGGCAGTGTGACAGTATTCAGCCTTGCCGGACTTCTTTACCAATTTTGAACCAATCAGTGGTTCTCACTGTTGCTTCTTGACTCGCATATACAGGGCGGGGCATAACCTTTTCCTAGGGTGTCACAGCAACACTTGTAATAACAACACAAATAATTCATACACCATTCGAAAGCCCATCAAAACCTGAGTTTATTGACACGATTTAATAGTCAGTATGACCACCATTAGCCCTTCGAACAGCATTCAAACGAGGTGGATAAGAACACAACAAATCTTCAAACAGTTCCGTTCGATTTTCCAGATTTTTCAACACAGTTTCCAAATTCATTCTCAAAGTTTCAACCGAATATCGATTTTGACCTTGCTCCTGAATCATCAGAGCTTCCACTTCATCCTTAATTATGGCCCCAATGTTCTCTGCCGGATTGAGATCTGGCGAATTTCCCGGCCAGACGTCATTGCCCCAAAATTCGACATTGTTTTCCTTTAACAATTGCTGAGTCGCATTTGCACGCATGCAAGGAGCTTTGTCATGAAGAAAGACAGCCTCACCAACCACCAAGACATTGTCTGGATCACTGAGAAATGGAATGACATTCTCCAATAAAATTTTCTCACGGAAATAACTGCCATCCCAGGATTCCCCTTTATCCTTCAAAACCCAATGCAGTTTCTTGGCTGTGAAAATGACGAAAATCCCGATGCAAGTCGGATTGCGAACGATTTGTCGATATCGTTCATGTTTGGCGATGTCGTCGACGTCTTTAGCCCAAATTCGATCGTTCTGGAAATTCGGTTTTCGAATGGCATAAACGAAGAATTCGTCAGATGGCGCCAAATGAAGAAAATCTTCCTCGGTCCATTCAGACAACCAATCGCACAACCAAAGCCGATCTTGAACGTGTGTTTGAGTTTTCAATGGTTTGCAAATGACGTGGAATGGCTTCAAACCTTCTCGTTCTCGATATCGGCCGATTGTCCTTTGATCAACTCGTTTTCCACGAATTTGAAGGATTTCTTGGGCCACTTTTCGGTTTCCTTTTCGTTGTTTGCGACTGCCAGTTGCAATGATGGCTTTGCTTTCTTGGGACAGTTGCAGAGGACGCCCTTCTCCAAATTTTGTGAAACATTCTTGGGCTGTTTTGTTCCAATTATCAGTAACCCAATCCGGATGACGTTTCAATTTGTTTGCAATCCATTTTCGATTGATAAACGTCGCTCCAGCATCGCGAGCCTCTCGAAAGGCAATGCATTTTATTCTGTCAATGATCCTTTGTTCTTCCGAATCGAATTTTCCAGCCATTCTTAAAGCAAATTTAACATTTAATAGCTCATTCAATTCAGTTTTTTATGGGCTTTAAAATGAGGTGTCGCGGAAGTTGTAAACTGCTGTCGATCTTGCTGTGACCCCCTAGGAAAAGGTTATGCCCCGCCCTGTATATTTCTGAAGACAAATAAGATGGTCTGGTACTCCCATCTTTTTAAGAACTTGTCACAATTTGTTGTGATCCACACAATCAAAGGCTTTAGCATAGTCAGTGAAACAGAAGTAGATGTTTTTCTGAAACTCCCTAGCTTTCTCCATGATCCAGCATTCCTGATTTAGTTATCACCATTAGGATCAGGAATTTGCTCACTGAGTGAAGTGGTTGCTGAGTGAAACTATGACTGTGTTTTATGATCTTACTCAGTTTTCCTTTGTTTTATAAACCTGCAAAGATTGTAGATGTGATTGATTATAAGGCTATTTTTTCATCACCATTGCTACTCTGAATAGTCATTAAACAAGGCAGTAACAGGCTAATTACAATCCCATTTATGACAGTTGTCCTGTATGTTGCATGTTCTGTGTTGCTTTTCTCTACTGATGTGAGTTATTAATATATTTTTCGTTATATAATTTCAGAATCCTTTTCTGAGCTTCGCACAGTGTGGCTTAATCAAAAATAATATGTTGTTTTACATGTGCATAGTTTGGATTTTGTAACATGGTGATATTTCATTAAATAATTTAATGTAAAAATATAAATTCTTACATACCAAATTAGTCTTATTTGTCATTACAGAAGAGGCAGTAAGGAAGGGATTACAAATTTTAGGGAGATGTGAAAGAAAGATGAAAGTCATCTCAGTCTCTGAAGTTTTTTTTTTTAAGTAACTTCAGAAAACAGAAGTGACAAGTTACTAAATACCTTGTCAATGTATATAGACATGTATTGATTGATTGGATTCTTAAGGCAGTCTAACTCCCAAGAAGACACACTCTATATTTAGGATATCAGCTTTAATCAATAACTAATAAATTCAAACATATATTAATTGGTAATTCTATGAGGCATAAAACAGAATGTAAGGTTACAAAGGAAAAAAATCTATGATCTCAGCCCCTAAAATGCCTTTCCCATTCTATAGTATATAATATTTGAGTGCAGTATTGCAGGCTAATTCAGCTCACTGCCAGGATTTCAATCCTCACTGGCTCAAAGTTGACTCAGCCTTCCATCCTTCCAAGATCGGTAAAATGACCCAAATTGTTGGGAACAATATGTCAACTTTGCAAACCACGTGGAAATGGCTGTAAAGCACTATGAAGCAGAATATGTCTTAACTGCTATTGGTATTGCTATCTGAGTTCTTCTGTCTGTGTAGCTTTCCATGATATAACTTGTTGAAATCATTCTTTTTTCTCCATCTGTCTGTCTGTTTTCTAGGGTCATATGACTTGGACATTTACCCTTCAATAGCTATGTTGAATTTGATTATAAGTTTAGTGTTTTCAATAAAAAATCAAACAGTATGATGTTCAAGAGTTGAGAAGAAGTTCATATAAATATTGTAGAATGTTTCTGGATGATAGAAAAAATCCATTCCTATATTGCAACAATTGGATAACAGAGAACTTCCCAATAATGTGACCATCATGTGAAGTAGGGAGCTGTGTGGGACCTCCCTGTTCCAAAATAATACTTACAGGTACGTTTTTATTTTATTTGCTTGTTTATTTCTCTTCCAAACTCACCAGTCTGCAGGTACTGTGATTTTGTTTAGGGGCAATGAGAAAGTTACATCATGTACTCTAACTTGCAGAAACAAATAATATATATAGAGAAACATTCAAATGCTGCTGTACCTTAATCCCAAGCATAATTTTAAAAAAAGCTTTAGGGTTTAAAAACAACTGTTTCTAGGGAATCCTTTGAAGAGTTGATACCCTGACTAACAAGAAGAGTGTTGCTGAAGTTCGTCTGTGACATTATTGGAGTAAACATCATTCTTTTAACTGAGAGATATTAATTGGGCACGGTCCAAGAATAAATTAGACTTTGCCTTTGTTGAATTCAAAATATTTCAATCCTTCGCATTTTTAAAGAGGATCCACTTTTCAATTTACATTAGTCTTATGTACTTTTATTTGTTAGTGCAGAAATTCTCAAACCTGAATTACCTTGAGACCTGCTCTGCAAAATGTGCTAGAGTGATCAAGGTCTAACTGGAGAGACTTAAATTTAAAATTTCCATGAATGGGGGGGGTCTGTTAAAGTGGGTTTGCATGTGCACTGTATGTATGAGAACTATCCCATGTGTGTATAGCACGAACAAGGTTCTCTCCCAGAGCAAAAAACTATGAATTTAAGAACATATGAGTTTACCAAATGCAAATCTAGTCAAATTTCCTTGTTACTTTATTAAAAATATAATTTTTAAGTAAATATTTAAGTAAAATAGGGGGTTTACTTTATTCAAATACAGATATAATTATAGCAAAAGAATTAAAAACTAAAACATACTATATTTTTATCCAGTGACTCAGGTTGCTGATTAAGCTATCATTGGAGGAGGTATTGGATAAGGGAGGAGAGAATCTTATCCAGTGCAACAAATGTATGTCATGGTAAACTGGCCGGATTCTAACTTTTGTTCCAAAATCTGTTTATGGCCAGAACTGTGTCACATTTAACTTCTGACAGAATAGCTGTTTACTTCTTTCAGCCTTCAGGATAAGCCTTAAAACCTGCCTATGCCAACTGGCATGGGGTCTGCCTCTCCTTTCCAAACCCTTCTTGTTTAAGCTTGTTTCCATTTTTGTAACTTTAATTCATTTTTATATTTATAATTGTGGATTTTGCTTTATCTAAATGTAAGCCGCAAAGAGTTGCCTGAACCATGGGGAGATAAATTTAATTAATTATATAACTAATGTACCGTATTTTTCACACTATAAGTCACACCTGGCCATAGGACGCACACAGGTTTAGGGGAGGAAAATAAGAAAAAAAATCAGGCGGAGTCTGAGAGGACCACAGATAGGTGTCCTCATGTGCCAGCTCTGCCTATTGACTCCTGCACTGCAGAAAAGAGCCATAGGAGGCGGGCAATGATAAAGACAGAAGAGGTGGGGTTTAACACTGTAAAAGGACCCTGCTGCCACAGCCCGGCTGCTCTTCACCAAAGGCACCAATGCACAGACATTTCCACCCACTTTTGAGGGGGAGAAAGTGTGTCTTATGGAGTGAAAAATATGGTAATTAATTAATACCTGATTGCTCTATCTTTCTGTTAAACTCTCTATCTGGCAAATTTGTCCATCTTTGATTGCTGCCATTTCTGTTTCCTATTTTCTGTTGGGTGGGTTTTTAGGTCCCCATTAGGCATTGTGAAATACTTTGTCCCTGCAAACATGCTCCTAGTCAAACGTGGTTTGCAATATTATTAATTTTCCAATGAGCCGTAGGTGGTTCAATTAACCTAATTATGCAGACTGGAAGGAAAATTGTTGACAAATCTTGTATTTGTTGTTGCAGTGCATAGTTCTGAAGGTGTGATATGAAATAAATTGTGATTGTGAAAACACACATAAACCTATTTATCTTTACTTAGTCTTTCCTACAGGAATCTACAATCATAGTTTTTTGATAGTATTCAAAGAAAAGGCCTAGCAAAATGCCTCCACGACCATCATCCGGTGAATTATGGGGCATGCACTTAATGCCCCCCAAAATCCTAGTAGAATGTCTTCTACCTAACGGTATGATAGTGACTTTAGAATGCCTCCGTGAGGCCACCTTGTTAAATATTAAACATGAACTCTTTAAAGAAGCTAGAAAATACCCTCTCTATCAGCTCCTTCAAGACGAGTCATCTTACATTTTTGTAAGTGTTACCCAAGAAGCAGAAAGAGAAGAATTCTTTGATGAAACCCGGCGATTGTGTGATCTGCGACTCTTCCAGCCTTTTTTAAAAGTGATAGAACCAGTGGGCAACAGAGAAGAAAAAATTCTGAATCGAGAAATTGGTGAGGCTTGATCTCTCTTTATTTATTGCAACTATAAATATGATTTACTGTTTACAGCACCTATGTATAATGATTTACTGCATGGAATTTGAAATACTTGTAAAGAAAGGTGCCTCACTTCCCTCCAACCTCAGGGAGAGATGATTCATATGATAGGCACTGCTAGTTTTCGGGAATTGTGATTGAATGACCTTTCACCTGATTTTAATTGGGTGAGGAGATACACTCTCTGCATTGTCATGTATACAAAATAATAATTTAGGACATGTTCGAATGCTTCCTCAACTGTGTTGACTGCCAATCTTCTAGCACTTTTATTTTTAGTATTGTAAATAATTTTGAAAATATGCCCAGAAACTACAGTTGTTTGAGCTATCTAAGATGGGGGGAGATGCTAATCTTTAAATTACTTGGGGCAAGAATATATCAAGGAAGATTTCCTTTCATATGGAGCTGTCTGTGCATATACTCGAGTTATTTGCAGTCCTAGGTGGCGGGTGCTTTTATTTATATTTTTGATTCCATTTTTAGTATTGTAAATAATTTTGAAAATATGCCCAGAAACTACAGTTTGGACTAGCTTAAAAATATAGCAACCACATAAGAAAATTTAAAAGTTGAGTGATTTAAATCAAACGTTTTGTTTAGGTGTGTGCTTACTGGCCCTCAAAATTAAAAAAAATATGTTTAAATAATAAAGAAATATTGCAAAGGTTGGGGAATAAATGGTTGTTTTGTGATCAACCGGACCTGATAATCATTTTGTGAATCTGCAATTCGCTCACATCAGTTGCTGTAATTATACACTTCTAAAACTGATGTGCTCAGTAACTTAAAAAGATTGTTTTACCCCTTCCAGTAATAAAACAGTCTTTTAACATACAACCAAAACTTAATTTGTTATGCATCACTTCTTGCTTTTATCCTTCCTTTCATATGAGCCAACTTTTAGAATAACTATTAAGATAAATAAAGAGTTACCTGGGGGAGGGGAACCAGGTAGGGGAAATCGGTGCCACCTGGAACAAAGAAGACTACAGATGCTCCTCAACGTAGGACCATATTTGGGACTGGACTTTTGGTTGTAAGTCATTGCAGTTATAAGTCGGGGTGCCCACATGATCTAGACTCAATATTTTTACCTTATTCACAGAGGTGATTAAATGAATCGAATTGATCATAAGTCTGAATTACACATTCATTATGCATATCATGTGGTCACTAAGTGAATCCATCCTCCCAAATTGGCATTTTTGCTGCACTCTGGAAAAAGAGCACAAGTTGTGGTCATGTGATAGACACGGCAACCAGTCATAAAAGGGGGATGCTTGTCAAGCATCCCAAATGTGGCCATGTGGTAAAGATGTGATGCTTTGTGAGCATCTTTTTCATGACTATTATAACTTTGAACATTCATTAGTGACAGTTGTAAGTCAAAGACAACCTGCATAAAGCTGTAAAGAAGCATTATGTCCTGTATATCCAAACAGAAACAATTTCCCCATGTTTTCTGTCCACATAATAGCAGGGTCCATATACTATTAGATCCTCTGAGTAAATGGGAGACAGGATGCCAGTTCCCCTCTCTTCCAATTCTAAGTTCCTATGTTAAGGAAAAATTGACTGATAAGAGAAAAGATAACACCACTAGAAGAATAGAACTGAAGAAGCTTCTTGGGTGAGAAGCAAAATGTCTTCAAAGAAAAAAAAAACCCAAGAAAGTCTAGTTCCCTTTTGAAAAAGCACCTTTAGAATAGCCATGATCTGGATGACTGAGAATTTCCATAGATACTGAAAGCACACCAAATGTATCTTATCGGAGTGGTGGCATCCAAACTCTTTTAATTTATCCCCAAAATAGAACAAATCATACCACTTTTGATTACCGTATTTTTCGGAGTATGAGACGCACCGGATAAGACTCACCAAGGTTTTGAAGAGGCAATTTTTTTAAAAAAGTAGGTAGGTAGATAGAGGGATAGAGACGGAGAAATACAGTAGGGGGGGGGGGGGGGAGAGAGAGAGTAGATAGGTCAGTAGGTAGATAAAGGGATAGAGAGGGAGAGAGAAATACAGTAGGTAGGTAGGGAGAGAGAAAGTAGGTAGGTAGGTTGTTAGAGGGATAGAGAGAAATACAGTAGGGAGGGAGGGAGAGAGAGAGTAGGTAGGTAGGTAGGTAGATGTTTCCAGGTGTATTTATCCATGTGCTGGAGAAGGAAATCACTGACAACCTGCAGCACCTAAGACTTGTTTCTGCTGGCACAGCACTTGATCAATGTAATTCTCATGAACCACTCTAAAGAGCTTTCTGAAAGGGAAAAAAAGTTTTTGCTCTCTGCAAACCTCCCCCCAAAGGCCTATTTTTCAAGAAAATGGGCCCATTTTTTTTTCCAAATAAAAGGCATGAATAGCCTTGGGGGGCTTGTAGAGTGCTCCTGGGAGTGGGGGGAAGAGCCAAAAAGGCCCATTTGTTTGAGAAAACAGGCGGTTTTTTTGTCAAACAAATTGCATGCATAGCCTTATAGAGGCTTATAGAATGCTGCTGGGGGGGGGGGCAAAAAGTGACCCATTTTTTGCTTATTTCTGCCCTCCCCAGCCCCCAGGAGCTGTCTGAAAGCCTCCATAAGGCTAGGCATGGCCATTTTGGTGAAGGGGGGGGGGCGGCTTCAGGAGGCAAAAAATGCTGTATTCGATGTATAAGACGCACCCAGATTTTCAGCCTCTTTTGAGGGAAAAAAGTGCGTCTTATACTCCGAAAAATATGGTAAACGAACCTGCTGTCATCGCAGTCCTGGAACCATCCCATACTGAAGGGAAATGTGGTTTGCTTTTGGCTTTTAACAAGATGTGTGATTGCAGCTCTTAATGTATTCTAAGCCATGTTTATGGTTCAACATTTTGTTTCAGCTAGGCTCCTGTTGTTTTTTTAACACATCTTGCTTAAAACAACTGGATTAGCACAACAGGGGGGACACATTTCACATCTATCCTGTTTCGATGAAAATAAGACCTCCCTGGATAATAAGCCCAATCAGTCTCCCCTAAAATACTTAAATGCATGTGTAGCCAGTCCCCGCCATTTACTGGGGAGGGGAGGAACATGCCCCACATGCAACTGCCATCCATGTGGAATGGCCTCGCAGAGGCCGCTCCTGCAAACCCTAGCTACTGCACCCCTTCTCTTAGTGGCGGCCGCAAAAAAAGCAGCAGGCCCAGCGAGGCTAGGGCTGGCAAGAGTGTGAAACAGAAACAGAACTTCCGGCCCTTTCTGGATCAGCTGATCCACGGGCTGAGGTTAAGGGGTCTCTTACACCTCAAAAAAAATAAGACCTCTCTTAAAATAAGGCCAAACGCTTATTTCGGAGGTCAAAAGAAAATAAGACCCTTTCTTATTTTCAGGGTAACACAGTAGCTTGAACTGAAGAACCAGCCCCAGTTCTTGGGGTACTTCCTGGAGATAGTTGCAACATGCTTGATATTCAAGCCCAGAGCTGGGTTTTGTCCAATCTCCAGCAGGTTTTGAGATGGGATGGGGAAGCCTTGCACTCTAGCACTGTCTCAAAGGAGGTGTTTTTCTTTTTAGGTTTTGCTATTGGCATGCCCGTTTGTGAATTTGACTTGGTAAAGGATCCAGAAGTTCAGGATTTCAGACGAAACATTCTTAATGTTTGCAAAGAAGCAGTAGAACTACGAGATGCTAATGCTCCCCATAGTAGAGCCTTGTACGTCTGTCCCCCAAACATAGAATCATCTGATCTACCAAAGCATATATACAATAAACTTGATAAAGGTAAAGAAAATGCACCAATTAATTGTTTCAGCATTCAGAGAATCGGGGTGATATTTTATGAATTTTTACTGTAAATTGTAAAGCAAACTTTGAAGTGCACACCATGCTGGTCTCTGTCCATAATAGATTTTATTTGATGTACGTTGCTCTCATATCAGAGTAATCTGTTCATTACAAATAGTTTATTTTAAAGATATACCTTTATTTGTTTGGCGTAACCATTTCTTCTCAAATTAATAATAATCACAAAGTTTCCAGAAGTTTTTGTTATTTATTGTATAGTAAACCACCAATGAATTCAGCTGTTGTTTTCTAAGTGGAATTGAAATGTTGTAGCAAGATTGTAGACATCCTTCCCCTTTGCCTTTCTCCCCTCTCCCCCACCACCCCCACCCCATATCTCCTCCTGCCTGTTAGATTTATTTGCATGTTGCTGGTACAACTTTAAACAAAAGGAGAAACTTGACTTGATACAATCAGTTCTTCCTGTCCAAACTGACTCTTTCTGTTCTGCAATAGCAATTTGTCTTTCTCCCTCCTTCCTGTGCTGCCTGTTCCAGAACCAGAAAAGGTGCAGCACCTCTGGGTCCTAGGATCCTCCATCTCACCTGCCTCCTGCTATTACTGCTGATAACAGCCTGAATCTCTCCAAGCCCTTTCACTGATTTCTGCCTCTCACCCTGCTACAGTATATCAGTTTGGCAATTTATAATCCTGTTGCCTTATAGCCTTTTTATTCATGTTTCTAAAACCTAATTGTTACCATTATATCAGAAAAAGGTGGATGGTATTTAGTGCTTTAGGTCTGTTCATTTTTTGTTTTGTTTTAATTTTAGGATATGTATGATGTAGAGTAACTTAAAAGGAGCAGAGCTTTTTCCTTCTGTCTGCTGTTCCATGGTATGATACCTAATGCAATCCGAACCACATTTCTTTTCTTTCAGGTCAAATAATAGTAGTGATTTGGGTTATAGTCTCCCCCAACAATGACAAACAGAAGTACACCTTAAAAATCAATCACGATTATGTGCCAGAACAAGTAATTGCTGAAGCAATCAGGAAAAAAACACGTAGTATGTTGCTATCGTCAGAACAGCTGAAACTCTGTGTGCTGGAGTACCAGGGGAAGTATATTTTAAAAGTCTGTGGCTGTGACGAGTATTTGTTAGAAAAACATCCACTGAGTCAGTATAAGGTAAGTGAATATCAAGTATATTTTCATAATTAATGTCATTCATCCAAGATGGAGTCGGGGAATTGTGGGAAAACAGACTTGTGTAAATAAGAAAAATGTATCAGGTGTAAAATACAATGCTCTGGAACTATTTTTATGTGTGTGTTATTTAGCAGGTTTACTGGGAAATTTTGAATATTTTACTTACTTAATATAATGTATTGTTATAGAGTGGAAATCAATCTTACTGACTCCAGTGCCTGACAGGTCAACTGTTTGAAATAAAATGTTAACACTTTATTTAACCTTAGCCTGAGTGTTGCATGTTAGCTTCATTAGATGCTGGTGTTGTGTTACCTTTTGGCCCTAAATAGCAAAATCTTAACAGTGCTGACATTGTGAACTTCCTAGCTACGTAAAGATGATTCAGAAGAGGTATGTCCAGAATAGTCATTGTGCTTTTGTTTTGTTCTGCTTACCTATTTCAGTATATTCGGAGCTGTATCATGCTTGGCCGAATGCCGAATTTGATGCTGATGACTAAAGAGAGTCTCTACGCCCAACTGCCATTGGATACGTTTGCAATGCCGTCTTATTCTAGGCGTATATCTACAGCTACTCCTTACATGAATGGGGAAGCTTCTGCCAAATCTCTCTGGGCTATTAACAGTCATCTGAGAATTAAGATTCTCTGTGCTACTTATGTAAATGTAAATATTCGGGACATTGACAAGGTAGGTAGGAGAGGAACACTAGATGTGTGGGTATGATCGTTGTGTTCTTGATTAGCAACATAAAAATATGTTCTGATTCTGAACTCTCTGTGGACTATCTTAACAAAAACAATCCAATCAGAAATGGAAGTTGATTAGTAAATGTTCTGATGAGGGTGTCATGGGTCCCTCTTATTGAAATTTATGTGTTTTGGTTTACCACTTGGATCATCTTAAAATACTTTTTGTTACAAACTTCTTTTTTCTTTGGATACTCATCCAAGTTTGAACTATATCAGAAATTCGGTAAACTTTTACACAGGGCCTTGATTTTATTCTGCAGAATTTTAATGCTTGCATTTAGTCTTAAATGCGGTGGATTTGCAATATAAAAAAAAGTAATTTTGCTAATTCTTCTGTTAAAAGAAAACATTTTTTATTGGCCTGTACTTGCTAATTCTATTTAATTTGAAAGTTGCTCTTAATTGCCTTGAGTTATTTATAAAAATATTACATGCAGGATACAAATAAAGAAATAAAATACACATAAAAATAATCAATCAATTGATTGTACATTTTGTACATTTTGCTTTTCTTGAACCGGTGTCAATTTTTAGCGCCTCTATGATTATGTTTATACTTTTTTCAGATTTATGTCCGAACTGGTATCTATCATGGAGGAGAGCCTTTATGTGATAATGTAAATACTCAAAGAGTACCTTGTTCCAATCCCAGGTAAATGATACAAATGAAATAAAGAAAAGGAAACTAACCCTTTGTATTAACAGAGCACATCATGATATGTTTACTTATATTCAAGTGTAGAAGGATGGATGGCATATTTTGGCATGCTACTTTTTCACTTAATGTCAACTCACGTTTGTGCTTAATTTGATATTTTTTATATGAGCAAATCCAGACGATGACATTCAAATTTTCTCTATCAAGAGTATGCTTAGGTAATTTATTCCCTTGCTGATAAAGAGTGAATTTGTCTCATGACATTGCACTTTATGACTGGCATAAAGTGACTTAGCAATAGAAATTCCAGTCCCAACTGAGGTCAAAAGCTAAGGAATATCTTTACTGCCCATGACCATTATCTGGATAGTTTGTTTTTGTGTAGTTAATTTCTTTGAACAAGTATTAGAATGCCTCTTCCTGGGATTATACAATCCCTACATTATGCTTTGTGCAAGTGCAGTATAGCCATCTGTTAACTCTGAAGCTGAAATCTGCCTCCTTTACTCTCTCTAATTGGCATAAATAAGGGGGAAAGTGTACCACGCTCAGTTTTGATAATGGCATAGGGCATTCTGGCTAGCTCTAACAGAGCTGCATTCAAAATGGAATGTTCAGAATAGCCTTTCCTGCAAATTTGCAGGAAATAAAATTTGCCTAGGTTTTTAATAACAGGATTAGCTCTTGTTAAAGTCAGCCCTTAAGCCAGGGGTGTCAAATTCTCAGCCCATGGGCCAGATGCATCATGCGCTGGCCACACCCACACCCAGTTTAGTGAGAGGGTGGAGTCGTGATAAGTAACACAATGATGACGTTATGACGCAAGTTTGACACCTCTGCCCTAAGCTCTTTAGGACTTTCCAGATGACCACTGATTGTGCTGTACCTGCCCCATTAGAATAGCTAAATAAGCAGTTGTACCCAGGAAATAATCAGTAATGGCTAAAAATCTTTGTTACCAATTTTTGATTTACCATGTCATTGAAAAATATTTGGCAATAAACTTATCTCTTTCAGATGGAATGAATGGCTGCAGTATGAGATGCTTGTACTTGATCTTCCACGCGCTGCTCGGCTTTGCCTTTCTATCTGCTCTGTTAAAGGCAGAAAGGGTGCAAAGGAGGTAAAATTCTTCTCATGACTATTAGAAATGTAGGGCAAACTGTTGTTTTAAAAATATCAACATTTATACTGTCTTGATTGATAGAAATAGTACTGTAACTTATGTTTCCTCGTTTATTTCCTTAAAATCTGAGTTTGCAATATCTTACTAATAGAGGAGACTAAACACTGATTATTTGCTCTTTTGAAGGAGCACTGCCCATTGGCGTGGGGAAATATTAACATGTTTGATTACACAGACACTCTTGTTTCTGGCAAAATGGCTCTGAATCTGTGGCCTGTCCCCCATGGGTTAGAAGACCTTCTTAATCCTATTGGAGTCACCGGATCCAACCCAAATAAGGTAAATAATAATAATAATGACTCAATAGATAGATAAAAATGCCAAACTCAGTCCAACCATCTGACTTTGCAGCCAGGGGAGAGTAGAGTATAAGACAAAGAATTGGAGAGGATCAAAAAGTACTGAAAATCCAAAGTGAAAGACTATGGTATAACTGGAGAGAAGTTTGGTCTACTAGTAGTTAGGACAGCAGGCTAGAAAGTTGGAGACCATGAGTCCAAGTCCTGCCTTAGGCATGAAAACCAGGTGGGCAAATTTGGGCACATTAGTCCCTCTCTCTCAGACCAACCCATCTTAAAAGGTTGTTGTTGTGGGAAAATAGGAAAAGGAAAGAACATTAGGTATGTTCACCACCTTGAATTATTTATAAAAATAATAAAGGCAGGATACAAATAAATAGATGACCATGGTGGAACCAATACTAGGTATTCTACCAAAACATCTTGGATGGCACTTAAAGAAATTGGTGCATTGAAAAAATTTCCACCTATCAATTACAAAAGGCCACATTGCTTGGATCTACACTTAAACTATTCTGCTATACATAATAGCATTCAAAATTATTGGGAAAAATTCAGTGCATCAGAAGGCTAATACCCACTAATGAAGTGGCAATTGTGATTTCACATTATTGTGTTTATAATAAAATATTTAAAGCCAATTTCTAGCATACTTCATTGTCTTAAATCAGAGGTTTTGATCATAATTCCTAAAAATTGTCTGTAAAACATCTCATCATAGATTCAAAGCTTTTGAAAGATTTCGTTGGTCTCATTTCTTTTCAAGTTAGGTGAACCATTATTTTTTTAAAGTTACAGAAGAAAGAAATTGTTAACTACCTGCAGAATAATATTAATTGTATTTAATTTTAATTAATTTTTAAATTTTGCTTAAATTAAACTTTATTTTTGTCCATGCTTCACTTACTTTCATTTGCATACCATTCTGTTTTACAGTAATAAGGTGGTAAAATATTATTTTGGGCGTAGTCAGGATTTACGTGGCTCTTCCATGTAGCACACAAATAAACAACAACTAATTGGCATGAAAAGAATTGAGCAGAAATCCCTGCTTCAGCTTTCAACAGATACATTCATGTTCTCTGTACAAGAGTATATGCAAGAAGCAGTACTTATGATCTAAGACAGTTAAACATTTTAGTTATTTTAAGTTTTGTATTTTCACGCTATTTCTGTCTATAAATGAAAGAACATGTTTTCTCTTTAGGAAACTCCTTGTTTGGAACTGGAATTTGATTGGTTTAGCAGTCCTGTCAAGTTTCCTGACATGTCAGTAATAGAAGAACATGCCAACTGGATTATTTCTCGAGAACAAGGATTTAATTACAACCATGCAGGGCTGGTGAGGACTTTTTTTTTCCTTCTCTAGTTTTCTTGGGGCTAAGAACATGAACAATGAGCCACAGCAAACTCCTAGGTCCTTTTTGAATAGAAATATAGCTATCAACCTCCTCTTTAGGTAGCAAAATAAAATAACAATCGTTTTACATCTTCAAAATGTAAAATTCAAAATTATATAGTACTAATAGCATGAGTTCAGTGTCATGACCTAACAATAAAATTGTAACTATCTGTATTCAACCTGTTGGAGAAACCAAGTAAACTACTGCTTACCTGAGTCCTCACCTGATTGAAAACTAAACAGGCTCATTAATATAATTGCCCTTCTTTAGATATATTCCATATTAAGTCATTGAATAACTTTTATTTAAAATAAATATTTTTTAAAAAAAATAATATGTACAAGCTTATTGATTTATGGGGGGAAACCCACAGATTTTAGTTCATCAAATTATATCATAGTGGGAAAAAATATTAAATCATCTATGTCTATAATGCTGTATTTTTAAATCATTTGAGGAAGCATCAAAACCTGTTTGAAGATCTCTGGAACTTCATGCGCATTCTTTAGTGCTGAACAAAGAAACACTTTTTCCATTACAAACCTTGTAACAGAAATATTCCCAAGCACAGTTTTCCGTCCGCTGATTCAGAAGATAAAATAAGTCTTTTTGAGCCTTTTTGGCAATAACAGCATTTGAACAAGGTGTTCATTATATGAATGATGCTATGTATTCCTTTCTTACACAGAGTAACAGAATAGCTAGAGATAATGAGTTAAGAGACAACGACAAAGAGCAGCTCCGGGCAATCTGTACTAGAGACCCCTTATCTGAAATAACTGAACAAGAAAAAGACTTCCTTTGGAGCCACAGGTATAACAACCAGCTTTTCAGTATGTAAATGATATTACAGAGCATAGCTATGTCTACGGTCCTTAGATATGATCCAGCTCAGAGGTGATATTCAGCAGGTTCTGACCAGTTCTGAAGAACCGGTAGCGGAAAATTTGAGTAGTTCAGAGAACCGATAAATACCACCTCGACTGACCCTGCCCCCATCTATTCTCTACCTCCCAAGTCCCGGCTGATCAGGAGGAAGAGGGGAATTTTGTAGTAACTTTCCCGTGGGGTGGGAATGGAGATTTTATAGTATCCTTCCCCTGCCATGCCCACCAAGCCATACCCACAGAACCAGTAGTAAAAAAATTTGAATCCCACCACTGATTCAGCTGCTCCAAACTTGGGTAGAGGTTTTTTATACAGAATTTTATTTCTGTAAGCTTCCCAGAGTCACTATGAGTGAATTAGGCAGCCATAAAATTTTTCTTAATAAATAAAGAAACCACCTAGTATGTACTGAATGTAGAAATTTTAAAAAATGTATCGGGAGTAGTTTGTGCTATCTGCATTTGTTTAACCAACATATTAGTTCTCTTAATATATAGGGTTCAGTTCCAGTTCAAGACAGGAGATTATTCCTAAAGTTTTAAATGTATTAAATAATCTGAATATGTTTTACTTAAAGTCATCAAGGTCTTTTGAGATTATATTGATGACACTGATTCTATATATCTTTTCTGGAGTATGGGCCTATGTCCTGCCTTAAGACTCATAAGTTACTCTTCTGACATTTAAGAATGTTCTTTTCAAACAAACTTTTTAAAAAATACTATCCTTAGTTTAATATATTATTTCTTGATTCATAAGATTTCATACAGAAGTAATAGATAGAATTATTTGTGCAATATACTTCTCTCTGTCTTCTTTTTCAGGCACTACTGTGTATCTATGCCAGAAATCCTACCTAAACTTCTTTTGTCTGTTAAATGGAATTCCAGGGATGAAGTAGCCCAGGTAAACAAATGCCTTAAAAAAACTTGTTTATTAAGCAGGACTTTTAATGTTTCATTATAGTAGGATGCTATTATATTATATCTGATGCAATATGGGATAATATGATAAGATTCCCTGGGGCTACTGGGCCTGTTGAATGGGTAGAACATCCATATTTAGAGATGGAGCACCATTAGCTACCAAGTATTATGGACTAAAAGCCAGCCATTAACTTATGTCCTCTTTCTACCCTTCTCACAAACCTGGTAGTCCATTGTTGGAAGCAGGGTATTAGCCTGAGAAGAATTTGGTCTGACTCAGAAGGTTGTTTTCATGACTGTAGTCAAGATTTTGCCCTCTTACTGTATCTCACACAGATGTACTGCTTGATAAAAGACTGGCCTCAAATCAGGCCCGAGCAAGCAATGGAGCTTCTGGACTGCAATTATCCAGATCCAATGATGCGAGCCTTTGCAATTCGGTGTTTGGAAAAATACTTGACAGATGACAAACTCTCTCAGTATTTGATTCAGCTGGTTCAGGTACTGTGCTCTGTTTGAAATAACTGTGCTTCTATCGTATGTACAGGAATTCAAAAGCTGCATACTTAAATGAAATTTCCCAAAGGACAGTATGACAGAATTTTTCTCATGGAATTTTTAAAGTGATTTGGAATTCATGAGAGGAGGAAAGCAAAGAAAAAATGTAACTGAAAAGAACTGTTTTATGGGCAGCTATCTGAAAAGTTACCACTGCACAAGATGCAAGCGTCTGCAGTTCACAAATGAGCATAATTAAAAAATGAGATAAAATCCTAAATCATTAGCCCACCCAATAACCAAACCCCAATACCTACTTAAGAGGTATCGGTTAGAAAACATAGTACAGGATGTCTTCATTGAATTACTGCTTGTTCATGGTGGTACATGAGGGGGACTTATGTCAGGTCTTCATAGTTGTTGCCATCACAGTGACCCCTCTTCCATGTGTCATCAGACACTTTACAACAGGCTTAGAATTACATTGTTGCAGCTGCTCCCAATTACCATCATTAAGCAAAGACTACCTGTATACAAATACCCATTGCTGATGTCCTCAGGAGTGTTCCAGCCTTAGAAATACTGATAATGCCAATCACAATTCAATTTCATTGTTATCTCTAGGTTCTGAAGTATGAACAGTACTTGGATAGCCTCTTGGTAAGATTTTTACTCAAAAAGGCACTGACTAATCAGAGAATAGGACACTTCTTCTTTTGGCATTTAAAGTAAGTTTAGTTTATTGTTGTTGTTCTTAATCTCTTTTACATGAAACTCAAATCAACTGAACATTTAAAAATGTGTTACAAATACCATTGACTGGTGCTAACGGCCAGCATCCTAGGTATCAACCAAGTAAATTCTTAAGATGTACGATGCTCTGAGTAGCGCAGTTTTTTGCAGTTCTACTGATATTATTGCAGAAAGCTGCAATTTCTTGATGTATTTTATAAAATTCTTGGACATGGTATCAAGTGCCCCGATGACAATGGGTATCTGTTGTTGTTGTTGTTGTTGTTGTTGTTGTTATATACTTTATTCATTAAACATGAAATTCAGCCAGCTGAACATTCAAAAATGCATTACAAATACCAGTGACTGGTGCTAATGGTTGATACGGGTTGCTACCAGCGTCCTAGGTATCAACCAAATACCTTATTAAAATATAAGATGTTCCGAGTAGCACAGTTTTTTGCAGTTCCGCTGGTGTTATTGCAGGAAGTTGCAATTTGTTGATGTATCTTGTAAAATTCTTGGACATGGTGCCAAGTGCCCCGATGACAATGGGTATCACTGTTACATGCTTCATCCATAGCTCTGTAGTTTCGATGGCCAGATCACATATTTCATCATCATCATCATCATTATTATTATTATCATTATCATTCATTCATTCATTCATTCTAAACCACCCATCTCCCTTAAAGAGTATTACATTATAATACCTTGTATTATAAAGACAAGGAATCTAAGCTTAACTATCTTGTGACTAAGAAGCTAAAATAGTTTTTTTTAAATGTTTTATATGATTGAAAATATACTTGATAAACAAGATCTTCCAGTAACTCTTTTGGCTCTAAAATAAATGCCAAAAAGTTGGTGATATTAAACCATTATCATAACATAAAATTGAATATGTTTTATGAACACCTTTAGCAATCCATATCATTACTTAAGCTAAGATATTCTTATGTATAGGTCTGAAATGCACAATAAAAATGTGAGCCAGAGATTTGGTCTGCTCTTGGATTCCTACTGCCGAGCTTGTGGAATGTACCTAAAACATTTGAGCCGACAAGTGGAAGCTATGGAAAAATTGATTAACCTCACAGATATCCTGAAGCAGGAAAAAAAGGATGAAACACAAAAGGTAAAATTATGCATCAGCAAAATAAGGTTTAAAATTGTGGCATGTTTTATATTTTTATTATTAGATTTTTCACATTGCCTTTAGTACATTATAAGTATCTCAAGGTGGCGAATATACTCCTATTTTCCCCACAACCTGTAAGGTGACTAAAAGAGAATGACTAGGCCAAGGTCACCCAGTCAGCTTTCATGCCTAAGGGGGGACTAGAACTGATCAATGCTTGGTTTCTAGGTCAGCACCTTAGCCATTATAGCAAACTGGCTCCAACTATATGTATTTAGAAAGCAGCATTTGTAGAATTTGCTGTATTTTTCTCCCATTGAAATGTTTCAAATACCATGCTGGTATTCATGCTAAAAGCAAAACTTTTGAAATATATGGGTCTATCATTAACTACTCAGTGCTGTCATTAAACAGGTACAGATGAAATTCCTTGTGGAGCAAATGAGGCGGCCGGACTTCATGGATGCTCTTCAAGGCTTCATATCTCCTCTTAATCCTGCTCATCAGCTTGGAACTCTGAGGTATTGTTTCCTTTCCAGAAATTATTTGAGCCAGGAATATATATGAATGTGAATAATGGATCAGCAGGATGGTATCAAAATATGAATTCTTAAAAGTATGAGTTCACTTTGTCTTCTTCGTCCTGATTTGATCTTGCAACTTGTAGGACAAAGACTGTTGAATTAAGATGGCCCAAGAAAATATTAAATTTATTGGCATAAGGAAACCAATGATGATACAAAGTAATTGTTACATTTTGTATACCAAATACCACTCACTCATCATGAAATGTCCAGAACTGTAAAGCCTACAAACTTGAAATTTGGCATCTATGTTCCTCTTGGCTTCTAGGTGCTTGCTAAGAAAGGATTTTTCAAAATGACCATCACATAATTAGTATTTTTAATACAGTAATTAACACGCTCTGATGCTAAGGAGTTCTACTCCCTCTCCCCACTGAAAAGAACTCTGTTCCAACTATGTCTTCCACCTATGGAACTGCTTCCGGACTCAAGGCTGCTGGAGCAATATTCCCCTATGTGTTTCAATCACCGACCATCACTGAGCCAACAGATTGTGAACCAAATTTCTCCTGCATAGCCCAATCACATAGCTTCATCACGAAGCATGGGTATCCAGCTAGTAAATGAATAAAATTGTGTGTTAAAATAAATAAAACAATTGAAATATCTTTATTCTTTATTATTTCTTTCAAATAATGAAATGATACCATGAAAGAGATGGTATAACTAAGATTTTCAGAGTTAGAAAAAAGTAATCAGTGTGCTCCTTAGCACCCAAATTCAATTTCCCCCTTTTCAGTCAGCATAGATGTTTTAATGACCTAGAAAAGACATCTCATGATTGGTGGACCACCATGTTTCTTATATCACACATAGATTTCACTTTGCACTCCATGACTAGATTATAGTTAAATCCTAGGGTCTACCAATTAAAACTGAAATTATACTGGTAGGTTATTAAACCAATCATTGCTGATTTCTTTGAACCTATGATTTTTAATTAGCTTTCTTGCATCTTTCCTATTACTAACTTATAAATTTGACCAACACAATTTGATTTTGATTAAAAGTAAAAGTATTTGAAATCTGGAATGTTTCAAACTTGGAAAAATAAAGTCAATGTGTTGCAAGCTCAAAACATTTTGCGCACATACACTATATTGCCAAAAGTATTTGCTCACCCATTTGAATAATCAGAATCAGGTGTTCCCATCACTTCCATGGCCACAGGTGTATAAAATCAAGTACCTAGGCATGCAGACTGTTTTTACAAACATTGGTGAAAGAATGGGTCTCTCTCAGGAGCTCAGTGAATTCCAGCCTGGAACTGTGATAGGATGCCACCTGTGCAACAAATCCAGTCGTGACATTTCCTCGCTCCTAAATATTCCACAGTCAACTGTCAGCTGTATTATAAGAACGTGGAAGTGTTTGGGAACGACAGCAACTCAGCCATGAAGTGGTAGGCCACGAAAACTCGTCCAACATCAGTGTGTGACCTCACAAATGCGCTTCTGGAAGAATGATCAAAAATTCCCATAAACACACTCCTGAACCTTGTGGACAGCCTTCCCAGAAGACTTGAAGCTGTTATAGCTGCAAAGGGTGGACCGATGCCATATTGAACCCTATGGATTAGGAATGGGATGTCACTTACAGTAAGTTCATATGCTAGTAAAGGCAGGTGAGCGAATACTTTTGGCAGTATAGTGTTTATTGTACCTAAATAACATGCCTTATTTAGATTATCTACATTAAATTAATTTTTTTTGCTTTGAGTGTCTTCAGATTAATTCTGTATTAGCGCACCAATAAAACCAAATGGAAATCTAATTTCAATTCATACATATTGTCATTGATAAATGCAAAATTGATCAAATCTGGATCAAATTAAACTTGTGCTTTATGTTCTGTATTCTGCAAATCTATTTCACTGTAGCAGAGTATATCAATGTAATATTGCAATAAATACAATTATATAAAATTAAATTTATCAAAGCATTAGCAATGTATGATATTCTCTTTATAACTGTTTTATAAGTTCTGTTAAGTTCTAATAAATTCTAAATCACTCCAAAATCAGGTGGGGTTAATCAGAAGTCAATCTCATGGTTTTTTTTGCTGATTTTAATTAAGGAAAACCTACTCCTTCAAAAAAGCATCTCTCTAAATTATTGTCCAACAAATGTTTCTGTAGACTTCAATTCAGAATGGCTTTTTCAATGCAGTTTTTCGTTCATGGCATAAACAGTGACACTGTTGCTTTAGATTGGATATGTTTTGTGGTTAAAACTAATTCACAGTGATATATTTTCATTATAAACTATAATTAGAGAATGATCATTAGAAGTGAAAAGTTAATCTACTTCTAAGGGTTCTACAGAAATGTAATAATTTATGTCTACTGGAACAAAACTTGTTTAAACCGATATCTATTTCTTTGTAGGCTTGAGGAATGCAGGATTATGTCTTCTGCCAAAAGACCCTTATGGCTTAATTGGGAAAACCCAGATATTATGTCTGAGCTGCTATTTCAGAACAATGAGATCATCTTTAAAAATGGGGATGGTAAAGAAAAAACATTTTGTTCTAATTTCTACATTGTTGTTTTCACTATCCTGCCTTGAAACACTCCAATTCAGAGTGTATATCCCAGCATAAATATTCATTTCACATGGATATCTGGATACTGACACAGTGGTATCCCTATGCATCCCAGGATATATATCTGAGATTATTTTCTGAAGGTATTTCTTGCCCTTCTAAATCCAAATTTATTCATACTTATTGAGCATAATGGTATCAGGTGAAGATTTCACACAGAGCAGGAGAGCGTTCTTTTCTATCGAACAGTTTAAATGTGTTTCCTATGTGAGAGCCCTCTGTTCATTTTGAAAATAGCAATAGAATTTAGAATAGAATAGAATAGAATAACAAAGTTGGAATGGACCTTGGAGGTCTTCTAGTCCAACCACCATCTTAGGCAGGAAACTCTATACCATTTTAGACAAATGGTTATCCAACATCTTAAAAAACTTCCAGTGTTGGAGCATTCATAACTTCTGGAGGCAAGTTGTTCCACTGATAAATTGTTCTGTCAGGAAATTTCTCCTCAATTCTAAGTTGCTTCTCTCGATTAGTTTCCACCTATTGCTTCTTGTTGGGCCTCAGGTGCCTTGGAGAATAGTTTGACTCCCTCTTCTTTGTGGCAACCCCTGAGATATTGAAAGACTGCTATCAAGTCTCCCCTGGTCATCCTTTTCATTAAACTAGACATTCTTGCAGCCATTCTTCATATGTTTTGGCCTCCAGTCCCCTAATCATCTTTGTTGCTCTTCTCTGCACTCTTACACTTATATACCACTTCACAGTGCTTTACAGCCCTCTCTCTAAGCGGTTTACAGAGTCAGCATATTGCCCCCTTCTATCAGGGTCTCATTTTACCGACTTTGGAAGGATGGAAGGCTGAGTCTGGTGAGCCTGGTGAGATTTGAACTGCTAAATTGCAGGCAGTCGGCAGGCAGCAGAAGTAGCCTGCAGTAATGCACTCTAACCACTGTGCTACTGTGGCTCATAAAATAACATTTTAGCAATGCTCAACTGATTTTTTTTTTTCCTGGGCAAATTTCTTTTTGTTTTTTAAAGAAGGAATTTGGTGCTTTATATTTGTATGAAAACTTCTGGCAAAAACTCACATCATTTCCATTCTGATGAGCAGGGCAATCGATTTACAGAGTATTGGAGACAGAAGGAGAAATAATGGAGAGGGGAATTTCCAGCCTAAGGAACAATGCTGCCATCATGGTTGAACTTCCTACCAAATATTTGGGGATCCTGCAGTTTTCTTGATGAACCCCTGGGTGGAATAGATAGATGCTTTGTTCAAGAGAGAAGTCCTTGCAGGGACATTGTTGCTTGTTCCTGTTCTCTTTTACTCTGATCTAATAGTATCACAAAAGAATTACCTTTACCTGGCCACGGAGTATACAGGCACATGCAGTGACTGCTATAGGTATATTCCTATAGGTATATAGGTAAATGAAGTTATTTTGTTGAAGTTGAGAACTGACTATAATATTTGGTGATCTCTGCTTCTGTCCCCTATAGTGCCTATCACAAAGTTTATAAACGTTATTCCTAAACTCAGCATCTCTGGATTAAAACTGGATTTTAACATCAGCTGGTTTAACAGTCTTTAAAGTAATCTTAATAAAAAATACTGTACATTTGATTAAAAAAAAAACAAGAAATAAAGTTGTAAAAACTCTATTCAGTTTTCTAAAATTCATCCCTTACATAATGCATTTTTTTATCCAGACCTACGCCAGGATATGCTCACGCTTCAAATAATTCGAATTATGGAGAACATCTGGCAAAATCAAGGCCTTGATCTTAGGCAAGTATTCCTAAATTCTGCCAATAGTTCTATTTGTGTTTTTCCTTTCTGCTGCTGTCCAATAAAGAATATGATCTTGGTGAAGAGTTTGCAGCAAATATTACGTCATCACTTATCATGGCTTTATCAATGTTACAAGTGTTTCAATTTGTTTGCAGTCTTTTTTCTTTGTGCAGGGTGACTTTGCATTTTGTTTCATTCAAGCAGCTCAGGAAAGTACCACTGTGTTCTAATGTTTTGTGTTCCTCCATTGTATACATTTGCCAAGATTTAAAAAGCCCTTTCAGGCATTCACGGTGGAATATTTCAAATGAAAGAACAGATCTTGCCCTATACCACAAAGTGTGCATGAAACTTTCTCCATTTTAGACATAACTTGGGTGGCTCAGGTGGGCCCTTGGAACTATTTGCACAATTGTTTAAAATCTCTTCTTAATGACAAGATAGCTCAATGACGAGGGTGAGGTTAATTAGATTCCATTAGAAAACCCAAGCCTAATTATTGCAGTCTAGGGTTACATACCTGTGCATTTTGTTCGATGGACATACTCATTTACTAGTATTTTGACAACTCTATTGGAAAACAAAAGTGTCATGTTCTTTTTTTAGGATGCTACCTTATGGATGCTTATCTATTGGTGACTGTGTGGGGCTTATTGAAGTTGTGAGAAATTCACATACAATCATGCAGATCCAGTGCAAGGGTGGCCTTAAAGGTGCGCTGCAATTCAACAGCCACACCTTACACCAGTGGCTCAAAGACAAGAACAAAGGGGAAATGTGAGTTGAATAACTAACCTTTATTATTATTATTTTTAAAATAATCTGTTCTTGGTGAAACCTAATCATCTTGACTTTTCCTCTGCTAAAAACTATTGTGCTCACAACCCAACGACGTTAAGCACACCAATAAGTGTAAAACTCAGTGGATGATTGACACTTGTCATCCAGCTTCCTTGATTGTGGCTGAGATGTAAAGTTAGGGTGATGTAACAGCATGCACAACTTTGTATCTTCTGTAAAATCCTCACCACCACCACCACCACAACATAGTAAAGATTTTCCAAACAAACTTCTAATAAATGCCAGAGTTCTCTGTAAATGTTACAGAAGCTTAGTTTATGTGATAGACAGTATATTAATGGTGGATGTTGGCAGCTGGAAAATACCAAAAGTACTATAAAAGTTGTAGCTTTGGAGGACAGCTCAAATCAGCTGGCACTGGAATCTGATGTAATGATCTACAGCATAGATATAATAAAGTTTGTTATTTCATCACAAAATTATTGGATAGCAGGGTTTGATAATGGACAAAGATCTACATATGATTTTGCACTCTGTATATTTTGTTAACTTAAAAATCATGCTATTAATACTTTAATTAAAAAGGAATCTTTAAAATCTTTTTTTAACTTTCTCTTCTGCCAAAATGTTTGTAAGGTTATTACAAGATGGCTACAAGAATTAATAATTATTCTACATTATTTGGCACGTCAAAATAACAAAGCAGTCTTTACCTAACTAACATTTTTTTAATATTTCCTAGGTATGATCCAGCTATCGATTTGTTTACTCGCTCCTGTGCTGGCTATTGTGTAGCTACTTTTATATTGGGAATTGGTGATCGTCATAATAGCAACATTATGGTAAAAGATGATGGGCAGGTAAAAATATTTGAAATATATTCTCTTTCAGTATCTTTATTTATGGGGTACAATAATTGTCATATTTTCTATTTTAGAGATATATTTTGTGCATCAGTTGAGGATATTATAGATATGGGTCCTGTGTTCTCTGTGCACTGTAAGAATCTTTAGCTCTAGTAACATTCACATGGGACACAAGTAAAGAAGCGTAGACCGTAGCACTACAAATGTGACCTGAGAATATTCTTTAGAATTCACCCAGTGTTTTCCATTTCATTGGAAACTTCATTGTTTTGTGGAAATCCCTCCCCCACGCACAGTTAAGATTTTCCAAACAAACTTCTAATAAATGCGCGAGTTCTCTAGTACATTTTGAAGAGTGCTAATCTTATAGAATTATTTTGTACCCTGACATATGGACTGCAAAACCAGAGCAGGTATAGCAGAATAACAGAGTTGGAAGGGATCTTGAAGGTCTTCTATTCCAATGCAGTGGAGTACCCCAAGGCTCTGTTTTAGGCCCAGTACTCTTCAACATCTTCATCAATAATTTGGATGAGGGAATAAATGGGGAACTGATCACATTTGCAGATGACACCAAGCTGGCAGGAATAGCCAGCACTCCAGAAGACAGGCTTAAGATACAGAAGGATCGTGACAAACTTGAACATTGGGCACTGTCTAATAAAATGAAGTTCAATGGTGAAAAGAGTAAGGTTCTACATTTAGGCAAGAAAAACGAAATGCACAGGTGCAGTATAGGTGGTAACTTGCTCAATAGTAGTAACTGCGAGAGGGATCTTGGAGACCTAGTGGACAACCATTTAAATATGAGCCAGCCGTGTGCAGCAGCTGCCAAAAAAGCTGGTTTGCTCTGAGGGTCGTTTTGACTGCTCCGGAGGCTTCAGGGAAGCCTCCTGAAGGTCCCTGAAGCCTTCGGAGCGCTCAAAACGACCCTCCGAGCAAACCGGAAGTGACTTCCAGTTTGCTCGGAGGGTCATTTTGCCTGCTCCGGAGGCTTCAGGGAAGCCTCCTGAAGGTCCTTGAAGCCTCCGGGGGGGCGGGGAGGCTGTTTTCGCCCTCCCCATGCTCCTAAAAAGCCTCTGGAGCCTGGGAAGGGCGAAAAAAGCACGCAAAAAATGGGGGGAGCGCCTGTAGTGCACGCATGCGCATTGCATTATGGGTGTGGCATGCCCCTACACGACCCCCCCCTGCGCTCCCCCCCACTTAGGGCATGTGAGCCAAAAAAGGTTCGCCATCGCTGGTATAGGGTTTCCTGCCTAGGCAGGGAGTTGGACTAGAAGACCTCCAAGGTCCCTTCCAACTCTGCTATTGTACTGAATTGTATTGTATTGTAACCCCCTGCTCATGCAGGAAGTCCTATATCATTTCAGACAAATGTTTGCCCAATCTCTTCTTAAAAACTTGCAGTGTTGGAGCATCCACAACGTCTGGAAGCAAGCTGTTCCACTGATTAATTGTTCTAACTGTCAGGAAATTTCTCCTTAGTTCTAGGTTGCTTCTCTCCTTGATTAGTTCATTGCCTCTTGCCTCTTGTCCTGCCTTCAGGTGCTTGGGAGAATAGGTTACCCCCCTCTTCTTTGTGGCAGCCCCTGAGATATTGAAAAACTGCTATCATGTCTCCCCTAGTCTTTCTTTTCATTAAACTAGAAATACCCAATTCCAGAAACCATTGTTTATATGTTTTAGTCTCCAGTGCCATCTTTCTTGCTCTTCTCTGAAAATTAACATTTGGTCTTTGTTCACATTAATAACAATCTGAAATATATTCTCCGTAGCTATTTCATATTGATTTTGGGCACTTTTTGGATCACAAAAAGAAGAAGTTTGGTTACAAACGGGAGCGCGTGCCATTTGTCTTAACACAAGATTTCTTGATAGTGATTAGTAAAGGAGCACAAGAATGTACCAAAACAAGAGAATTTGAAAGGTGAGTAAGCTGGAATTGAAATGCTATTTGATCTGACCAAATTTCTGTTGCAGGGCGGTGCAAAAACATGCATTATGTGCTATAGAGAAAATGGTATTAGGGTTGCCTTGAGTTTTCCTGAATAAAAACATTGGGTAGCATCAACAATTTGGGCCCAATTTTCAATTACACTTTCTAGAAAATAATTACATATGCCTATGAGTCACCCTTGTTATTGTAATAGGGGGGAAAAGCAGGTTAGAAGCCAAATGGCAGCAGTCTGCCATATGAACACAGAGAGATTTCCACCAAAAAAATGTTACCAAATACTGAAGGTGCTGACTCACATCCTTCTTATCTTTCAGTTAAACTATTGTACTTTGCCTTACATGTGCCTGTCCTTGAAGGGAATTCAAGAGTTTACCTATCACAAGAATATTTGGCATAATACAATTGCACTTACTCTGTAGGAGATGCACATAATTGAAGCTGTTGGTGATTTATGGTTTAAGTCCTTCATATTTTTAGGAACTTCTTCTCCAAGTAGAACCTGCTCATTCTAGATAGTTTAGCTAGGAGAAGAGTATTTATAGTGCAGGTACCCACTCCTCAAGGGAATTGGGGGCACAGAAGGCGACTTCTTCTCAGCCCCTTCAGTGTAGAACAGCTTATCTTCTCATCCTTTAGAAAATAGTAAAAATAGTTCTGCTGTACATTGTTTTTGAAAGCAACGTTTTTTAATTTGGCACAGCAATTCAGATATTTTCATTTCATATATTACATGTCATTTTTATACTGTAAGCCACCTAGACACACCACATAGAAATTGCCAAAATAACTATGGTGGTAATTATGATGATGATGAACCAATCTAGCATCAGCTTCTTAAATAAGCCTTCCTCCATGAACAATTTGCGGGTGGGAAACTTACAAAAACATCTTGGCCTTATGATCTCTACACTGAAAATTGCAGATGAATTTGGCACCACCCATAAGCCTTATATAAAAATAGCTGTATTTCCTTTTATCTTCCTGTATGTATTCACATGATAGTTATGCTTATTAATGCTGAACGTGGAGGTTGTTGATTGTGACTATTGTCAAAAGTATAGAGCTGAATAACGCAAACTCTTTCAAGAGTAATGTTTGTTACTTTTACATTTAAAGAAACTGTTTCTGGAAAGATATTCCTTGGAAATTATATATCTTTTGGCAATCAATATGTCTCCAGATGTGTTGACTTACAGCTCCTACAGCTTTAACTCAAATGATCGGATTGCGGGATGGCTTAGAATTTGAGGAATTGTAATCCAGAATGAGTGAGTACTACTCACTCATTCTGGATTACAACATACTATAAAATTGTTTTCCTTAACATTCGAACAAAATTTTGTCATCCAGATAATCTTTTTAAACAGAAGGATGCCTATGTATTTGTTGGCCTGATCGCAAGTTGTTGTTAATCTGATAGGGTGGTGTGTTTTCTTTCTCTTTTCAAGGTTCCAAGAAATGTGTTACAAGGCCTACCTAGCGATTCGACAACATGCCAACCTCTTCATAAATCTCTTTTCCATGATGCTTGGTTCAGGGATGCCAGAACTACAGTCTTTTGATGACATTGCGTATATACGCAAGACTCTTGCGTTGGACAAAACTGAACAAGAAGCACTTGAGTATTTCATGAAGCAGATGAATGATGCTCATCATGGTGGTTGGACAACAAAAATGGACTGGATCTTCCACACAATCAAGCAGCATGCCTTGAACTAAAGAAAAGACAATGAAAAACTGATAAGCCTAGTTTTTTTGGCTGTTCCACTGCACTGTTGCCTCAACAGCTTAAAAAAAAGCCTTGTTGCATCACAGTTGCACAAACCAAGGACAGGGTTTGAACTTCCAACAAGGTTAAAGATGCAAAGTTATTTAAATAAAACATTTGTAGTGTTTTGAACACTATAAATCATGCATTTCAACATGTAACTTTCCTATATGTGTAGTTGTGTTATTGCCTTAAGTGTAAGAAGGTAAACTTGGAGATTTGTTCAACTTGGTTTATTTAACTGGGGATTTATGCCAGCATAACAGCCCAATCTTTCACATGTCCAGTCTTTCACATAGTGGGAAAAAAAGGATTCAGATAAGTTACAGAATAATGAAAAGAAGGAAAGTTTAGCAATTTTGTTCATTGTTTCTAAAAGAGCTTTCTTCTCCCATGAACTGTACTCAGTTAAAAAAAAAAATAGAGGGGATGGTGCCTTTATAATGTCAGATAAATTTGTGGATTTAAGAGTAGTGGTTTTTCTTAGGTTTTGGAGTTTGGATTTTATTTTATTTTTTCTAACCTAAACCTCAAAACATTTTCCCGCATGCTTTCCAGAGCCTAAAAAAAAAGAGGTGAGTTATTAGAATTAAAAATTATTTTTATAAAGGTTATTTATATAACAGAAACTTATTAATATATATGTATATATATATATATATTTCTTTATGTTGATTTTCTGTCATTTTAATTTTACAGACCACTTCTTTGTCTAACAGATTTATATAAACCACTAGACTGATGCAGTGACTTGTAGGATCAGAGTTAAAGAATACTGTGCTGTTCCTGGCATGATTTCTCTGTATGTAGCAAATTCTGACTTCTAACCAGCTCAAATGCAGAACTATGGGCACTGCAGAACATATTTTTACTACATCCGGGGATTTGTTCAGCACTTGCTGAGTAGATTTTGAGACCTCTCTGTGGCAAGTTGAGCAAAGCTGGATATGTATGCCTACAGTTCATATATTCAGAAGGCTGCTTAGGTTCGGCAGCTGTACAGAGTCTGTACTGGCATTAGGATGAGGTCAGGGCCTGCAATTCCTTGTCTGCGCCGTCACAAAGGGGAAGGGGGAAATCTTTTGAAACTGGTAACACTTGCTTCCAAATAAATACGACTTGCGATCAGAATGCTCAATTTCCATTGTCTACAACTGCCTTTTCTACCTTTCCATTTGCCAAATCTATTGGGCTACAGCTGCTGTCCTCCCTATCCAGTAGAACTAATCGCTTTGTAGTGGGAGTTATACCCAGACATATCTGGAGAGTGCCAAAATGGTCAATAATAAACATGTTTAAATCCTAAAGTTTTATCCGAACTCGAGCACATTTGCTGAAGTTCAAATGGTAAAATTAAGCTAAGTGGACTCTAGAAATCTTTTGACTTATTTTAAGCTTACCCAAAAGGGAACATTATATATTTATAACATTCTTATAAAAGTTTGGGAGCTCTTTGAATAAATCTTAATACCTGTGGTTAACATAGTCAGAAAATAACCTTGAATAGACTGAGAAACAATTGGATGAAAAGGGGAAAACTTGTGTCTTCAGCATCCTAACCAAAGTAACGCCACAAAGTTTGTTTCCATTGGTAACTGAATGTTCTATAAGAAGATCTGTCTATGGAAGTAGAAACTGATTCGTCTTTATGCTAGTTTTGATGCATTAGAATGACATAAGATCTTTCAGATCTTCCTAAAAATAATCTCAGGCAATGCTCTTTAAAAAATATTGGGGTATCTTGATTATTTTTAACTTGCCTTCGACCTCTCCCTTGGCTTTCCTTCCTAGACTGCTGGAAAGGAATTGCTTAATTAGAATAACCAACAAACTAGAAATAATAATATAAATCTGATCGTTAAACAGTCTTCAGACTGCTACATAATTTGCAGCATGCAGAACCAACCAATATTTTATAGATACGTTTGTGCCTGTGTATAATGTATGTCTTTATTGCAATATGAAACTCATAAAAAAATTGGCATCAACCAGCATAGTGACTGGTACAAATTGTTCCATAAATATTTTTTTATAATATTGTGTATCCTGAGCCCAAAAACCTAAGATGCCATTTCTTTTATACTAATGTTATCTCACTGAGTTCACAGGATTTGAAAATGTTCCTGAAATCTGGATATTTGATCACATTTGCCTCCCCCCAAAAAATAGGTATTATTCAGAGTGCAATATAATTTGAATATGGTGTTCTGACAGTAGCTAGTAGAATATAACAAATGTGTATAGAACGTAAACGGTTAAGAGGCTATTTTTGTTGAACAATGTAAACATTCGTTATCTGTTAGTAATTGCATCTTTAATTTATTTTATAGATACAGATAACACAGGTCTGCAACTAAAAAGCTGTTTGATTATTTTCATCTAATTTCCATGTATTTTGGTGTGCTGAAAACAAATAAAATACTGAAAAAACTCCTAGACACAACATGCAAAATTGTCTTCAAATTTATCAATTTTTTTAAATTTTTGATATTTTTTTATATTACGGGTTTTTAACCAAATTTAAAGTCCAAATTACTATTAATTAATTCACATAAGTGCATTTAAGATATAAAATGCTAAAAAAAACTTAAAGGGTTTGTCTGAGTTAATGTAAAAAAAATATAACACTCTAAATCTGATGGTCAGCAATATACACAAGCAAGTTTTAAGTCTGTGCTTCTAATGGTAGAAGGGGTTAATCTTTCCTAAAGAATCCAGTGGGAGGGAGACACAGGGCAGATAACAGCATCTCCTGTCAGTGCAGGGGGCGTGGCCAGCACTGTGGCCTCTTGTGTACAGACACAGAGCTACTCTCTCCTGCATGCCACACTTGTGCACGAATCATCAGGTTCTTGGTTCAAGGCTGTTCATACTTT